GGCAGAGTTATACTCTTCCAAACACCCGTTAAAGCCAGTGGTGTAGTTCTGTTTAGGATCGCCCTGCCAATCTGCCATGGAGCTCGTAAAGCCATCCTCTCCAGCATGTGCACCACAAGTCAGCTTCAGAGTATGACCCAAAGGCAGGAGAGGCAGCAGAGCCCGCCCAGAGACCAGCACAGGAGTGGAGACCTCGCCACAAGACTGGCCAGAGCAACAACTTCTCCTGCCCCTGCCCAGCGGCACCACTGGCAGCAGGGCTTGCTCCAGACTTGGGAAGGCCTGGTGGGTCGGAGGGGAGGAGGGGACGAGGCATTCTGATGCCGTGAGAAGGCGGCAAGGCCGAAGAGCATGGCAGTTGTTCCTAGGGCCAGGGGGCAGCAGAGGGCGATGTCCAAACAGGAGGTGTGGAGGGCGGGGCCTGTAGAAGGCAGCGTTTGGGGAGGAAGTGATGTCACATCACCCTAGTTTCTAGGGGTTGTTACTAGAGACACTAGAGGAAACTGTGCTACCATTATGTGGAGGCCATTTTTTCTCCTCCTCCTCAACTCCTCAAGGGTGTGCAATTGGGGCTGGAGGAGGTGGGTGATTCCTTGCCCCAGCTGGGTGAATGGGAGCCCAGTGTCCAAGGATGCTGTGACGGACAGCCCTTAAAACAGTACCAGGAGGTGACAAGTTAAATCTCCTCAAGAGTGGGGAGCTTTGAGTGACTGAAAGAGGGTACCAGCCTCAAGGAAATAAGAGGAGAAATAGGAAAGTTTATTAAGAAGCATTGTCGTGTTTGGAAAACATGGGGGGGGGGGAGAAGCCTCTCGTTATTAAGAGCTCAATAACTAAGCAAATAACCTTCAATAACTCTCATTTGCCTGTATAAAGAATTACAGTCTGTACCACCACTGATTTTTGCCTCGAAGATAAGAACTCCTGGTTACACCTGACCTCCTCCCATCTTTTAAATAAAATCTTTTGTTCTGTTTGACTTCTACATGGTCTCAAGTGCCGTTTGAAGGGGGTCAGCCCAAGAGGGCTTCTCATTCTTCCCTCAGGTTCCAGGGCTGGGCTGTAAGCCATATTATATTTCTCTGGCAGGGTGGGACAGAGCGTCTTTTAAAGATAAAGAAGAAAACTACGCTACTTGAGGCAGCTCAGTCACAGAAAGGGGGAACATTGGGAGGGAAAATCTACCTCTGAGGGAGGGAAGTGTGAGGCACCATCACAGACGCCATCAGCTGAAACAGCACCTGCGATGTGGCACCCAAATAGGCCGTTGTCCACTCATACCTTCGAGCACAATAGAAAACACCTGTTACAACATTTGTCTTCAGTATGCTGAGGAGCTACCTGAATTGCAAACTGCTTTGAGTTGATCCAGGCAGCTCAGCTCTTGCATGCCTCGTGACCTCTGTTGCCCCGTCAGCTTACGTAAGCAACCAGAAGGAAGAAGACGTGAACAAAAACGAGACCAGGAGACTGGTTGGGAAGGGAACACTCGAATTAAAAAGTGCAGTATCTGCCACTCAAAACCAGAAGAGTCAGGAACACCTTAATCTCTGTTTAAGCAACCTGTAGCTTATGAATCCACATCACGCACTTTGAGACACTTTCCTTTTCAATCTGGCTTCCTCATGCAAGAAGGTTAACGAAGAAGAACCCCATTTACCAACTTCCTATCAATGGCACCCAGAGGGAATGTCAGTTCCTGGATACAGGCGGTGCTCATTGCATGAGTCGTCTGTATTTCAAATGCTGAGTGGTGGAATTTCCTAGAACATAAGCAACAAAAGCTAGAGACGATCACAGAGCCAGTGTTGGGCAGGGGTCACCTTGCGATGCCCAACTAGGTTCTGGGAGACTTAGGTCCAAATCCCTATTCTGCTGTAAAAGGGTGGGCCGAGGCTGATCTGGGGTGCCCTTGGGCCGGCCACATACCCTCAGCCTAACCCATCTCACAGGGCTGTTGTGAGGACAAAATGGAGAAGTGGATAATGCTGCAGGCCACTTCCCTGTGGCAGAGGCAGACAACTGCAGAAGGCACGGCATGGTGGTGAGCGTTCGTTTGGCGGAGTGGGTCGAGTATCAGCCTAGGAGGGCCCGGGAGCCTCAGGCTCAAATCCCCACTCAACTGGGAAGCTCCTTGCATCAGCCAGCCCTCCTACCTCATAGGGTTATCATGGGGGCAAAATGGAGGTGTGTTACCATGAGCTCTTTGGAGGAAGGGCTGAGATAAGAATGCAGCAGACACCCTTTCCTCCCCTGAGTCACAACCATTTCACTAAAACCTACTCTTTGGAGCAATCTTTTTGAAGCAAACATTTTGGAGTAAACAAGCTTTGCTGGTCATTCCCAGATACAAGGGGATGCCCAAACATGACATGTCCCGGGCACTGACAGAGGGAAGAGGGGGGACACTGGGCTGCAAAGACGAGGGGAGGCAGCCATGGCCAGTGACTCTACAGTTCAGCTTCCTCTGCTTTTCACAATGGGAATCTTCAGGATTCTCAGCAGCTGGACCAGGCTACTTCTTCGCAGAATGGGTGCAACATTCTCCCAGAGTCTTCGCTATTTAGTCAAAGGTCATAGACTCATAGAATGTTAGAGTTGGAAGGGACCTTGCAGGTCATCTAGTCCGACCCCCTGGTACTCTGCAGGAGCATAGCCAAAAGAGAGCCATACAGAATACCTGGAAGATGGTCGTCCAGCCTCTGCTTGAAAACGTCCAGCGGGACATCCGGTTTATGGCAGCGCACTAGCAGACTCACCTCCCGGACCTCCCGGGGGTGAAGCTGTGCTCCAGCTGAAGGAGGGGGTGCACAGGCTCGCTTACCCCCCCCCAGGGGCCCGGCGAAGGGACCCTGGCCATAGAACTTATAAGAGGTTGCCTCTTCGAGGGCGAAATGCCGGAGAATTGAGGCGCCTCTTCATTCCGACGGTTCTCCGTGCTGTGAGACCAAATGGACTTAGTGACGCTGACTGGGACAAACGTAGGAGATCCAGCGGCAAAAATGAAAGCTGAAAGTGAGATTGAATGATCAATTATGACCATGAGTCAGTTTTGAAGCATTTATTAATTATAGAAAAAGATAGCTCCCCACCCCATCCCACCGAACGTGAAAAAGGTGAGCGGGGGAGGGATGCCTCCCATGCGCATGAACTTTTGAGCGATTGAGGGGGGGAGCGGAAGAAAACGCGAAGGAAACTGTCTAGAAGTACTTACCAAAGCGAATCTAAGCGGTCAAGCACACATTCAAAGACTTTTAAAAAAAATTGCGAAAGTAAAGAAGCGAAAAAGATGGCGGGGAAGAAGGACAGAGAAAAACATTTGAAAGCAAAAGGGTCTGAAAGCCCGAAACCGGAAGCTACCAGTGAGGTGGCAAAGTCTATATGCGCCCTCTGCTGGAACAGCTGAATAACTTCAAGGAACAGATGTCTATAGTGACTCAAAGTATTACTGCACAACAAACCCAGATAAACGATATGATACAAATAATGAAGCAAGATACTGAGAAGGTAAAGGAAGTGGCTACAACTACTCAGAAGGTGAAGAAAAAAGTGCAAAAACTGGAAAGGAATCTCCATGGAAGATCAACTGCTGTAAGTGCAAATGGAAAAGGCCAACATGATTCTTCACTTCCAGGGCATGCCAGAGAACAGGGGGGAGAATATTAAAGAAGTGATTATGGAATTAACTAGCCCCAGTGACAGAAATGAAGGCAGAATCGCTGCTGAGCGGGTTCTCAAAGAGGCATGTGAGGGATGCAATCCTGAAAGCGGTCGCTGGAATACCCCTGAAAGTGGGGGGAAATACCATCAGAACGCTAAAGGATATTCCATTCGAAGTAAGACAATGGAGAAGGAAGTACAAAGAACTTTGCTTTTTCTTCAGAAAAACTCAATTGGATATAAATGGCTATTTCCAGAAGGCGTTACTTTTAAGATCAAGGATAAAAAGGAAAAGATTGATTCTGTTCTGAAAGCTCAAGAATTCCTAAGGGTTCAGCTGGGAAGACCAGAGGACGGGAAAAAAGAAGAGGACAGCAAGTCTAGTGGC